AGTATTAGCTCTGCCATTGTGAACAGGAACATGTCTTGAAAATAATTGCAAGGGTAGGCTAGTTATGAAAGAGAAATTAGAAAGTATTAGCCTTTTATTTTGGCTAACACTACAAGTCTGCATCTTTTAGCACACCATATTGGATGTTAAGTGAAGCAGTTGGGTGTTAAGACCTCTTGGTGTCACCAAAGGACAGGTTTTCTTTTATCACTCTTGTTTTAAAGGGATTTCACCCCAAAATATAAATACAAATATATATTTTTTTAACTGCAGCGCAATTTATCACTCTATATTGTTTTGATGAGGGTTGCCAAGTGTTATTCTCGCTGTCTGATCATTATTTATTGAAAGAGACAAAGCTGTTACATTTCTTTAATGTATTTTTGGTGCTTCCGGCTCCAAAAGCTGAATGCCAATCCAGATAGATTGATAGCACTAAAGGTAAAAGGAACAAAATTATAGATTTTTGGGTGAATTGTCCCTATAAGCCTGAGTTCCCAATAAATGAAAGGCTTTCCCTATGTACAGCCACCCTATCAAAATGAATGTATGTTTTACATCAAATACTTTGCATATTGCTTTGTGTCTCCTTTTTCTCATTATAAAGTATTAGTCATATATTTGGTATGAATTACTTTTTTTCTTTCGGTTTTACCTTTTTTAGTTTGCTCTGGCAGATGATGGGGGCCTGCAGGTAGATGACCACATGATGACATCAGAGCCAGACGTGTATGCTGCAGGAGACGTGTGCACTGCATGCTGGGAACACAGCCCAATGTGGCAGCAGGTAAACGATCAAGTCATTAGCCAGTTCAGCCGATACTAGAGTTGTAAAGATGCCATCTGAAAATGATTCTTATTTATTTCATGTATCATCAGTTTTCCCATACTGCTCACAATTCAATACAAACCAATGTTATTTGATTCAGTTCTGTTCTTTCAAAAAGTATATAGCTCTACAAATTAAAATGAGCAATGGGAAAATAGGGCCAGACATAAATGGTTGCATTCAGCACCACTACACTGCACCTGGCAGTGTGTCATGAATCTCGTCAGTGTAGGTTTCAGTTCCCATGGCATTGGCAGGAGAGCTAAATATAACTATGTTTCACCAAGGCGTTAGATAAGTCTATAAATGGCTGCAAAGCTGAAAAGTTGAAAAAGAGTGTTATAATTTCACCTAAACATTTGAAAGAGTTGTTTCTGTGCTGTGTGCAGATGCGTTTGTGGACGCAGGCCCGTCAGATGGGCTGGTACGCCGGGCGCTGCATGGCGGCACAAGTCCTGTCAGAACCAATAGAACTGGACTTCTGCTTCGAACTCTTCTCACACATTACCAAATTCTTCAACTACAAGGTAGGTGACTTTCCACTGCAGGGGAGTGCATGTGTTGAAATAATAACTCCTATGTTAATCATCTACCCTACAAATTATAACCATTACTTTTAAGGTGGTTCAAGGTCCCTTCAAAAGTCTTAGTGCTCAATTCAGATATAGTTTGGCTTTTTACATCTTTTTCTTTCCAATGTGGCCAATATCAGATTACATTGTGAACTGGTCACTCTAAAGAATGCAACTCACATGCACCACAGTGTCTTACTGTACAGAAGAACACATGTACGCCTTTAAAGATAGCATTTCGTTTTATTTTTAAGTTAATGTGTAAAAAAAACACCTACAAAGTGGCCTGAATCAGAGTTGAAAAGGTTATATCTGATTTGGCAGACTTTTGCCTTCAGTCTGAATATTAGCCTCTGTTTCCTCTTGTTCCTACCTCTAGGCTCATTCCCACTGTGCATTTAAACAACTTCCTCTCTTCTGGTCATTCACAGGTGGTCCTGCTGGGGAAGTTTAATGGACAGGGGCTGGGGTCCGACCACGAGCTGCTGGTACGCTGTACCAAAGGCCTGGAGTATGTCAAGGTGATACTTAAGAGAAAAACAGTACACTTTTTCTATTGTGTGTTAATGTACATACATGCCTGAAATGTAAGCAGTTATCTCTGTGAACAAAAGTTAACATATGAATGCAGATTCCAGAATTTATTTTTGTTATTTGCATTATTCTTGTTTCTTTTTGTGGTCCATTTGAATTGCTGATTTGTCAATAATACTTTCAAAAGTAGAATAGGATGGGTAAATGTGGACAAAGCCATTTTCCAACATTCAATCTCACAACCCATTAGATATTGTCTGCCGATGATTTAGCTTCTTTTGTTATATTAGTGTTAGCTTGTAAACTCGCTACTTGTGAAACAATCCACTCCATTCTTGTCTCTTGAGTTGCTGAACGGACTGTAAATAATGACTGCCGCAAAAAAGAGTAAGTCCTTAAATTGTATACCAGCATGCCACACAGGAACCCTGAAAATAAAGGCCCTTGCTTCCAAAGTCTTATCGTCATCAGACCTACAGCTGATGTGTTACGCCATTATGGAATCATCATCAAAATCACAAGCTTTTTGGATGCTGTTAGACATTCCTGTGGCACCAAATGCCATCAGGAAGATTTTCCGTTTGATTGATTGTCGCTGTGTGAAAGAAACCACTGTTTTTCTGTGGATGTGGTCTAATGCTGCTATTGAGCCAGAGGCAAAACAGGATCAGCTGTTCTTTCCAAATTGTAGATATACTGTAGATGTATTTTCTCATGTCATCAAACTGATTTCACCCACTATTGGAAAAATCAACATGTGTGATTTCATTTTCACACAATTTACCGCTGTATTCCTGTTCCAGGTCGTTCTCAGTGGAGGTCGGATGGTGGGAGCCGTGCTGATCGGGGAAACAGACCTGGAGGAGACCTTTGAAAACCTGATCCTCAACGAGATGGATCTGACCCCCTATGGAGAGGAGCTGCTGAACCCTAACATTGATATAGAGGACTACTTTGATTAGGCATGAGAGGTGTGATTTAAGAAAGAACTTTGAAAGACTTGCGAAGGCAAAATGCATTCTATCATGTCAGATTTAGTCAGTTTCTTTTTTTGTATTGCCGAGGGAAGTAGTTTTCTGATGAAGTAGCAATGATCTTAATTGTATTAAGAGTACTCAATTAGAACTTGAGTGATGTTTTAAAAAACCTTTTTCATTTATTCGTAGCATGAATGCAAATCCATCACTTGTGGCAGGAATTAGACACTTAATCCACAAAGAAAGTGATACGTTCGGGAAAATATGGCAGTGAATAAAGATAATGTTTTTGTTGCTATGTTGTCTTAGTAACTCAAATATCAACCTCAACTACGGCTCCTCCTGTGCCTCAGCAACCATTGTAACAAAATAAATTATCAGGCGCACACAATGCGGTCTATTGTTCCTCGGATATGCTGCTCTTGGAGATGTTGCTATTTGAAAATCTCCTTTTAAAGAGACAAGAAACGATAGACGAAAAGTGAAAAGAGTCATCTCCACAATGAGAATTGAAATGACTAAAAGAGGTCAAACGCGCATTTCCAGTTTTTGGTTTGCCTGTAGATTTGCATTTATAGATGTTTGTTTTTTGGGGTCAGTGGTTCACCGGCATGCACCTGCCCACAATAATTTAGCTGCTTCTATTGGCTGATAAAGGTTGTTATGGCAACCTTGTGTTTTTACTAGGTAAGCATTATGGGACCTATGAGGCCTACTAGTAATTAGGAGTATATGGGGACATGCTCCCTTATTTAGAACCTTTGCAAAAGTATCCAAAAGAGAGTAAAGAAACAAGGCAGTAAACATGAATAAAAACACCCCTTTACTAAAGAGACACTAATAAGGTAGGACGACACCCTAAACTTTAACTACACCTCCCACCTGGAAGTGTGAACCTGTGTGGGTGGAGAACAGGCATTGTTTACAAGAGTCAACGCTGCCCCATGGTGGCACATGTATCAAGATCAAATTAAAATCCCTGATGGACATGGAGGATGGGACCGTTCGTGCAATGAAATCCCTTGTAATGTTTTACACTGTGTGTTACCAAGCAACTCGTCAGACCTGGCATGGATTGCGTGCCAGCGTGAAACAGATATTACACGGCTGAACTGGCTAATGGTCAAGATGGAAATACACCACCATTGTTATGAAGTATATTTAGATGTATATATTTACTGTAGAGGGGCTCGGCCATGGGGAATCTTTGGGGGTGTTTCCTCTAGTGTACTTTTTATAAACCTAGTTAGGGTTGCACATATGTTTTTGCAAGTTGAAATTGACCTGAATCCTTGTTGCAAAGATTATTGGTTTGAATTATACATGGGATGCAGTAACTCTACCTTCTTTTAATGAATAATGTGGAATTATAGATATAGACAAGATACAATGGCACGATGAGCCCACAGAAAGAAACAGCTTGGATTGTCTTTGATAGATAACATGTTCTTATACTCTGTCATTCAGACCATAACTATAAATCAATGAATTATTAGTTATCTTAATGTACAATGCAATGAGGAATAAAACAATTGGGTAAGGGTAGAGCTTTAACTCAGCAGAATCCTTAGGCCCACAACCACTAATAGGAACATAAATGAATTGCGTTCACAGAAAACTTTAGCTTTTAACTTTACCGCTAAAACATCAATTGTGTGTTTATGAGACTAGCAAACCGAATTAATTTGAGCTAAAATGTATCTATCCTCTATGTTTAACATTTGAAATATTTCGTTCGTGACAAAAAGCTCATCTCATTTAAGTAGATTACGGATGTGACGTCAGAAGCGTAGTGCGTTTCCAGTGAATGCTCGTGTATATCCACCAACGTATTGCGAATGGAATAATAACTGAGAAGAATTTCGAGTTATATTGTCTATTCGTTATCGTGTGTGTCTTCTCAGTAAATTGATTTGGTTTGTCATTTGTGTTAATCATTGCAAAAGCATAACGTTGCATCTTTACATGCTTTGAATAACTAAGCTCCGCCGACGGTGCCCGCTGACGCATTGATCACGCGCTTCCAGTGAGTCATTCGACTACCGGCATGCATTGCGAGAGCATTTTTTCTCTTGTGGGTGGGATTTTTTGAGAGGCGTTGCCGCACACACCGACGACTACAGCAATATATACCCAGCCTTCGTCAGATATTTTCATACATTCAGCATTTAGCCGCAGCGTAACGTACGGTTATCGTCAGAGTTTAAGATATTTCAAGAAATAAAGATAAGCAATGGCAAGCTACATTCACGTACCCGACGAGGCTCCCGCTGTGCCCAAAATAGATGTGACAGTTGACGAAAGCGACTACAGATCCGGAGCTCTCAAGCTGATCAAGGAGCTGAGACCGAGTTGGAAGCCATCCGAGGTCAAACTCAAGGTGCCGATTATTTATTGTATTGTATCATTTTACTGCACCGTAAGTCTGGTTAGTATGACATTTCCTCCAGCTTGTAAATACGGGCTAAGTTTAACATGATTTGGGTCATGGTAGTTTGGCCTGCTAACATCAGAGCGATTCTTTAGACACTTGAATATCCTGGGTATATAACGTTGTTTTTTTTTTTACCAGAGGGAGATTGAACATTTAAACCAAGCTTTTACAAAGAAGCATTAGCTTTTTACATATATAATATACTGTATAATGGCAGCGGATGCTAGGAAGGACCCACCTGCACATTTAAATGTATCTAACCGTGCTTACATATCTGTATCTATGTACAGAGGATCAGAGTTTAACTGAATTTCCCTACGAGGATTAATAAAGGTCCATTTTATTTTATCTTCAATTCCAATTTTTGTGGTATTATAAAAAAAATAAGCGATGTTAGCTAGCAACCTAGTCCCATATGACAACCTGAAGGTAGTTTATACTAATATTCCTATGACACACGACACCAACTTTAATAATGACACAATATGCTAATGTTAATATCAAATAGCTGTTAACAATCACATAGTAAATCATTTCCATGGTATATTACTGCAGTCATCTCCCCCCTTTTTGCAAATAGCATTCCTAACACTTGAGGATATGATCAGACAGCGGGAGCATCACACCGCCTTTGACGCAGTTTGAAAACTAGGGTTGACCAGGGTGTTATACATGAACTCAAATATCGAATTAAACAAGTCCCGAAGGCCATTAACATGCAGGTATTTGTGTAGTTAGAGTAAAGGTGTGTCTGTCATCTTAATAACCCACAGTTATCATCATTCTGTGAGTTATAGACACTTTCTGGAGTTTATGAGATTGGTTAGAGATCTGACGAAGTGTACATAGACTATTCCTGTAAACTTCTAGAAGAAACATGGTTGACAAATAGAGCTTGACACCTGACTACTTAATGTAATCCTGCAAGTGTCCTATTCGGTCTTCCAAAGTCAAACATTTTTAAGTGAGGCAACAGAAAATGGAACATTACGACCTTAACATTAAAATGTGTTAGGCTTATTAAGAAGCGTGAAACATTACAGCCTGGGCAAACACCCAGACATATTTCCCTTTACACCAAGAGAGAGAGAGAGGGGGTGTGGCTCCACTTGGTAAACACCTGGTCACATGCTTGCCTATATTCATCAATGGGGGGAGAAGTGGAAACTCAGCAAATGCCTGCCATAGCTTCACATGAAAAATAAAATTCCTCACCGTCCTGTTTTTCTCAGTCACTCCCTTATACAGCGAACAATCAGGGCTGGTATGTTAGCCCCCCTCCACCGCTCCCCAATTTTTTTCCCAGCATCATGGCAGACAGTCCAGCTTAAATCAACTCAGACGAGCCTTCATTTTCTATTGCTACATTAATTCCTCTTTGCTTTAGTGTGGCTTGCCAGATACCGACTCCCCTCAGTAATTACGTAATACTCAAAACAATGTAGGTTTTTATGCACAGTACTTAAATAGTAAAATGCGGAGGATGGTCCCACTGTTGTTCAACTGTAGGCGTGTATCTAGTAGTTGAACCATAGGACAAATAATGATTTGTTTTACCCCTGATTCACCTGTTCTCTGCTTTTCCCCTTTCTTTCTCTGCAGTTTTTCACAGATGGGATCACCAACAAGCTGCTGGGCTGCTACATTGGTGCATTCATGCAGGATGTGGTTCTGGTCCGTATATATGGCAACAAAACAGAATTGTTGGTTGACCGGGAAAATGAAGTGAAAAGTTTCAGAGTACTACATGCAAACCGCTGTGCCCCACACCTATACTGCACCTTCAACAATGGCCTTTGTTATGAATTTTTGCAAGGAACTGCCCTGGAACCTGAGCACATACGCAGCCCGCCTGTGTTCAGGTAAAAACGAAATATTGCTTTGTCATGCAGCAAGGGTCAGGGTTTTTTTTTCTCCAACAAAGCCACCCGATCGTCACCTAAATCGGCGTGTAGGCTTAACAATTACACTCACACTAACAACCCCACCCTCACGCTCCCTCACACTCCCTCACAAGATGTAAACAGCTGTCAGTCATTGCCTTAAAGTGTCTTTGAAAATGTAGGCACAGCTAAAGAGAAATCTTTCAAGAACTGGTACAAATGACAACTGTTATATTCATAAATATAAAACAGTTTTAGAAAACTGACATTCCACAACTAGCCAGGCGACATGTGGAGATGTGGTAGATATATAGTGAACTTTCTTAAAATGTGAATTTTTGGTAGAATTTAGTAAATTTTTTCTGCTGATGCTCTACTTCAAATGCAAATGTTTCCTTTCTTTTCTATCTTGCAGCCTCATTGCCAAGCAGCTTGCTAAGTACCATGTCATCCACGCCCACAACGGCTGGGTGCCCCAGTCCGACCTGTGGGTGAAGATGGGCAAGTACTTCGCTCTCATCCCCAAATACCTCAAGGACCCTGAGAAGAACGCCAGGTGAGGCCGCGTAAAAATATTTTGCTCGCTAAACCTGCCTCAAAGGTCCTTACATACTTCAGAATCAAAAAACAGTTTATTGCTGAGTAGGCATCACATACCAGACATTTGCTTTGGTCTAAACATAAACACAGTATGAGGAAATACGATGTAAGAAAAGGAGCAAAAATAGAACTGTTAAAAAAAAGAAAATGGTGTAAAGGTAAAAAACGTACAGAATACTCAGATGGAAGTACAGAGATTACACTATTAAAATGAACACGATTTGCTCACATCAAAGTAATGCATAGTGTTTATATAGGGTTCTAAGCATTAGTAGGGCCATCTGTGAGCATCTGTCACCTCAGTGTCCAAAGATTTAGATTTTAGAGAGATGACACAAACCCCTTAAACATATGTTCTTCTTCTCCTCTGATTATTCCAATACAAAAATATTTTCACAACGTCATGGCCTTCTGAAATGAAGCGAGAGTGGTGGGAAAATGGTCGGTATAACGTATGCATCATAACAACCATGTAAATCCACAGTCATTGTTTTTTGTTTTTCCCCATTTCAATTATTATGAATACCACAGTCAGCTGGTAAGTTATTTCCTCTCTGGTAGGCACAGAAAGTATGTGCGTGTTTTCCGTTGCAAAATGTATAGAACAATTTGTACAGTTCATGACTCACTGAACATGTTATCTGCAGGTTTTTTTAATTCGCTGCTATAGATAGATAGATAACCTTTGAGTTGCAGCAATTAAACTATAGAGATATAAAAACAAAGAAAGGAAGAACAACTCTTTCAAAAGTAGTATAGTGATTCAAATATACATTTGGATTCAAAAGAAATCAGATTGTTGAACAGATTATGACTAGTTGAAAGCTCATGGCTGGCCTGTTGAATATTTCTGTTATCTCCACGTGCATCCGTGTCCTCTTTTATTAGCTCGGGCAGTGACGCAGCCAAAGAGTTTCCGTTATCAGGGGTAGATATCCAGCACGTCTGCGTACGTTTGTGGAATTCCTTTCATGCTCTCGGCAGGTGGGAATTCACATTCAAGCTTTAGGATTCCTGGAAGGAGAGTTAACACAACAGAGCGAATGTCAATAAGCATGATGCGTCAACAAGCAGGAGCATGGTTTCGTCTGGCATCATGCAAATAAACAAACCTTGTAATTATACCTTTATCCAAAAATGTATATGACCTTTATTCCGGGTGTTAGTGTTGACACAAAACAATACAGGCCCATTGAGTTTAGACTATTTTGGGCCCTTTGGCTCCATTGAGTCTTTCTTGTTTGACCTTTGTGTTTGCAATAACGACAACCTTCGTATATTTTGGCACTCAAAATAAATCCATAACAAGCGCTGACTTTGCAGGCAGTAGATTTCCGAGGAGGTTCCCAAATAATAAATAAGACTCCAGACACCCGCAACATCCGAAAAGTTCATGTATGTGAAACAAAAACAACGGAAACGTTTTGGACAACTTTGCATGTGGCTCTTAACCACGAGTATCGAAACCTACCCTTTTCACTGTTTGTTTATCATCTGCCTCTGTCTCATGATCATATCCTGGTACAACAAAATGTTAGCATCGCAAAGGCAATTCCTTATTTGCATAAAACAAATGGAATTTGACAAGGATATAGATGCAAGTAGTTGCCAGTAGCACTGTGCTGGAGCAAAGTGTTAAACATTGTGAAACTAATGTTAGAAATAATTCTTCTTTAGGCAGGAAATGTAGTTGCTGATAAGCTGTAGTGAGGATTTAAGTCAAAATATTGTATTCTAGTAGTAACATTGGAAGGATTTCAATTCACCTTTTTATTTATTCTTTTCACAAAACGTATCATACTTTTGAGAAATGTTCCCCGTCTGCTAAAATTGGGTTTCTATCAGACAGCTGTTGTCACACTAAATTGATCAAATCTGACAAATATAAACTTCTCTTGGCAGTAGAACTATCCATCAGTAGTTTGTTCACTCTATAAAGTGTCTGTTGTACAATAGAAACCCATTCTGACTTAGTAAATATATTCATTTGTAGGCCGTGATGTATATGTCATTAACTATTATCTACCCATTCTTCTATTGTGGGGGAGTTCGGAAGCAGCCTGTGCTAAGTGAAGTTTATTTTTTACAAGCAGTGATCAGAACTATTAATTAAAGTCCCCTAAATGAAAGTACATTTTGCCTTAAAAAAAAAAAAGGTGCAGAATTGGAATCACCCTTCCTTCTATTAACACTCCCCTCTCTTCCTCTGTGCCCCCCCCCCAGGTTGAGTATGGAGGTGCCCAGCCCCCGGTGCCTCCGAGAAGAGCTGGTATGGCTCCAGCAGAGCTTGTCTGTGCTGGGCTCCCCCGTAGTTCTCTGCCACAACGACCTTCTCTGCAAAAACATAATCTATAATGCGGAGGAAGGTGAGTATTAACTGCACAAGTGTAGTCAAAGACGTTACTGTGTGACTGAATTGTGTTGTAGTGTGAACTGCATTGGTCTCTGCGCTCAGGTAGGATTGCATTAACTGCACTTCCTCAACCCTAGTCACATGCCTCACTCATTATCAGCGTTTGCACTGGGCTGCCAGCGTAGAATTAGAACGGTGAGAAGAGACAAACCTGTTATTCAAATCTAGTTTCACTCTAGAGAGAATTTAAAATGGGTGAAATCTATGTATGTTGATTGGAGGGTGTGTATCTGCTTCAAATACAAAAAGCACATTAAATCAAACAATCTGTTACTTATTTAACTTTTTATTTTTTTATTTAGGATTACAATCATCCATACATTTTGATTAAATCCTGGGGGAGCCCCTGTAATAAAGCATTGTTCTGAATTAAAGGAGAAAGAAAAGTTTTTAATTTGGAATCCATTTAAAAAAAACTGTTGTCTATTCTGTCTTTCTATTTCTTTGCTGAACCTAGAACAACAGTAATCAGCCTGAACAAACAATGCCATTACATCATACCACATACCAAGTTGTATTGACAGCACAAGTTTTTGGTGCTTTAGAAAATGTTTTTTTGGATGAAGATCAAGCACCCTCAGGGAAACGTGTACAAGTTTGCTTTAGCAGGCGGGGAAAAGACGAGAGTACCGGGTTTTATATGCATGTGGGAGGCGGGGTGGGGTGGTTTGAGAGTTGTCAGCCCCCTCGTCGGCTCGCGGCGAGGGGCGGGGCCCTTCTCACAGCTCCTTGTGTCTAGCCTTTCTCCCATAGGAATGACAGCCGAGGCTGTGGCTGCCCTGCGCCGCCCTGCCCTGGGGAGGCAATGGAGAGAGACAAACCTCACGCTCAGGCGGCTTTGAGGGCCCTCGCATAGTCTGCCCTCTGCTCAGGCTAATCGGGATGAGTTCATGGCAGCAGTAGGAGCCACGTTACTACCTATTACCCTCCAATGCTACTCGAGTTTTCCCTCTGACAGTACAGAGGCTACGTACATTGCTGGTTATTACACTAATGTTTTTTTTAAGGTTTGCACTTTGAGTCACTCTGAGCACCAGCCAAATGCCTAAAGTGTCAAGCTACTTCTTGCTCCTTACTCCGCAATTTCCACTCCATAGCATCAATATTGATCACTGGGCAGACCGTATAAGTGGAAGGATGTGTCTGGCGATATTCTTTATATTTTTTATCAGCGACAAATCCCGTGAAAAAGACCGAAACCAACATTGAATTGATCAGATTAACATATTAATGTATTGCCTGTGTAGTCAAAACCCTATCTATAGCTTATTCCTCCGTGATAACAGCCCCATTGTTGTCGGCAACAGTGGGCCACAGTTCACTGGGTGACATGATTAATGCCGTGTATTTTGATCTAATACATCATCCCATACTGAAATAGTCAATAGATCCACTGTTTACTCATGCTTAAGCCTTTTTTGTGACCCCATTTTGAGAGGTTTGTCTTGACGAGGGATGAATGGAGTTGTTGAGAGCCACAGACAGGCCGGGGCAGTTGGAAAGTAATAAAAGACGTACAAAAAGCCTTGTTGGTTTTGGTATTTTCATGGGTTTTGTTGTTATTATTTAGAATATCATCAGCTTTATCCCTGGAAGCGGAAACATGCTTCTGCAAAAATGCTTTGACCTCAGCACACAGAAACATATATTTTCTAGGACGCCTGCAGAATCTGATTTGAATTGTGGTTTTGCAAATCAAATAAGTGCTGACTTTAATACCGGTTTAATTCGATTTGCGCCAACACCCAGATCTCCCTAAATTATTGGAAATCCAATTGTAACTAACACAAGGAGCTGCAAATGTGTTGCACATGAATTGTATTCCTCGCACAACATGTTAAAGCCTGTGCCTTTGTACACACTTTGCAGATTTGCTGAATCATGTTTCAGGCTTCAATAAGGACAGCTGAAGTCATTGTTTGTTTTTGACATAATGAAGATTAAAAGGAATGTTCCCTTATGACAGTAACTAGTTTAATCACATTATGTATTAAGCCTGCGAAAAGACTACTCCTACCAACGCCCTAATAAAGTCTATGACTTTTAATTCCAGTTGCTGCATTTGTTGCTGCGCTCTATACCATCTACACTGTGCAAACTCACATCCTCATTAGTTGAATTAAAAACAGATACCAGGCTGCTTCCTGTCACTTCTCAGCTGTAGTTGAAACCACTTGTCTGCCAAGCGCGACACCAAAAGTCCACCACTTCCTCTATTGATAAAAACATAAACAAGTAGGGGAATCGCCAAAATATGTCTCAGTTTTCCCAAAACACGGTAAAGTGCTTTTTTTCTTTCTTTCCTTCTCTCTTGTCTCTCTTTACTGTGTCACGGGCTGCTTTAGTGTCCCTGCCCCTCTCACTTTACTCTGTTTGCATAGAAAAATAAATCTGCGCTCATTTTATCAAGAAGCCGAAAGGAAGCCTCTAAAAAGATTCTGTCATTTGCAGAAGCTGCAGAGGTGTCACGCTGTTGGGTTCACAGTGGACCAATGGGAAGGGAGCATTGGAGGGGTGTGTTGTGAGAACTGGGAAGTGAGGTTTGCATGTATGAAGGGGGGGAGGGTTGCAGCAGGGCCTGATATTTTTCGACACTGTGCGTGGGAGTAAGAATGGATAAAAAAAAGACGAATATGTCCGTGTGAGAGTGAGCATGTGTGAGAGATGTGTTTGCCCCAACCTTTTCATCTGCTGCACAGGGGGGGCTATAGCCACTGCCCGGAGGTGTTCAGTTGTGTCCCGCTAGGACCTACACGCCACCTGGTAACCCACCTCAAAGTGTCTTTCTCTGTAGTCCAGCACCACCTCAAAACTTAATATTCCATATGTTAAGCCAAAGTAATTAGCCAAAAACCAAGAGTGGAGACATTGGAATAAATGTATTGTTGGTTAAAGTTATATTTTGTATTTGTTTATATCTCTGTAACAACCGGGCTTTTTAAAAGTAAGGGTTTGTATTTTGAGATCCACCGCCACCATTTTTGAAAACCCCACTTCCCTCTTTGTTAACGTCAACACCTCATTAAGTTGCTAGCCTAAAAATGCAATCAACACATTCTTTGACCCCAACATTTGATCTAAATGTTTGAAGCGACACTTCTTGAAAATATCCGAGAAGAATTTGAAGCATTCAAGTGGACCGTAGGGTTGACATCAAGAAGTATGGGACCCTCGTAAACTTATAAGACTGTAAAAAAAACCTTTTAAATGGGTGCGGCTCCAGAGTTTAGTGCATATGTAGGAGCTTTAATTGCAGTTGGCTCTTGTTATTGACGACTTCATCATCTGTCGTGAGCCAACAAAGTTGAAAAGAAAGCGTGTATCAAACAGTGTGTTGCTTAACATTTGCTTTGGCAGCTCACAATACTTTTCTACACACCACTTTAGCCTCTCTGTATTTGACCGTCTATCTCCCTTTTCTTTCTTTGCACTCATGCCCCCATGTCTTACACACATAAGCATTGGCTATCTCCCCTTCATTTTGTGCATGCATAAAAAAAAAACAATGTTCTCCTTTTTTACTCTAGTTTGTTTGTATGCCTGCCATGTGTTGCATCAGTATTTGCAAATGTCCATCTCTGCTAATGTATGCCTGCTGCTTATTTTGTAGACAAAAAAGGTGATAAGTGGGTTAGAAGTACATCTAATCTGTTTACTAAGATATCATTGGAGATTGAATGCTTAACCTCCATGAAGATATCTTGTTGGGTATGCTGTCCCACACTTAGATCTCCTATTCTGAATACATGGATTGACTCTGACTTGCTTTAATCTTAGCAGCATGATTGTTTTCATCCTTAACAGCATTATAGTGCACGTTACATATTATGTAATTTTGCATTATCCAATGATACTTACAATAAGCTTGTGAATGGTTTTGAATCAGTTTGTCGGAAGTTATTTTCAGACAAATACTTCTTAAGTGTATATGTGTCGTTATTTCATTTCCTGTACAGTCTACCTTTCCTCAAAATGCAAGCTCTTACCCCTTGCCCGACATTAGCCTACTAGCCAATCAGACAGGAAATAAGTTACAGTGTAAAATGAAAACCCTTGACATTCTGAGTTATAAAAGGGAAAACACGTCATAATCATTTGATGTCTTCTTCCCGTGTCTCTTGTCTAAACAACGCTGCTTCTCTCTCCAGGCCATGTAAAGTTCATTGACTACGAGTACGCTGGGTACAATTACCAAGCCTACGACATTGGGAACCATTTCAACGAGTTTGCTGGTGAGTTGTGGATAATGTAGGAAAAAGTTGCAGGTATACAATGTTTACGGAGTGTTTAACCTGTGTGTTTATGGGTTGCAGGCCTGAATGAGGTGGATTATAGTCACTACCCTCAGCGGGCCTTCCAGCTGGAGTGGCTGCGCTCCTACCTGGAGGCATTTAAGGAGAATAAAGGCCAGGGCAGCGTGGTGACCGACAGAGAGGTGGACACTCTTTACGTCCAAGTCAACAAATTTGCCCTGGTAAGCAATGTATTAAACATGCTATATTATTATATTAAGAACCATATAGGGTTACACTAGAGCACATCTGCAGCTGACTAGCATTGAGGTCATGTCTCGATTTTCAAGTTGGGGATGTATCAGAATCAGAAGTACTTTTTTATCCCGTGTGAAATAAGACTGTGATAGTTGTTGCATTTTAGAATGAAATAAAATATGAATTATAATTTAAAAAAAGGAGAACAAATGAGCAATACAAATATTAAATAAAATAAGATATCTTATAAACATAATAATAATAAAAAAAAAAGATATTAATAAATGATTATAAAAAAATAATATCGGGCTGGGGAAAATGTTTGAAGAAATCCATTCATGTAAGAATTGTTATCTTTGAAGTTTCTGAATTTATTCACAAATTAAAAAAAATTAAATTAAAAGTTAACCTAGAAATTGCTACTGGTGGACAGTTTGCGTACAAACCATGTCATTATTATGTGTTTCTTACAGTGTTATCTTGTGTATAATTCAAGTCACTGAGAAAAATGAATAAATGTAGTGTTAAATTTGCCTCAAGAATATTGCAATAAGTTGATACAACTTTTTCAAATTTGAAAACGACATAATATTTTAGACACCATACTCTGCGTCATGCTAGAATTAAAAATAAACTGAGGCTCAAAATCACATCACAAGATACTACGGAGGAAAACTACTGTAGGCTATTTTAAGTCCTAAACTATTTTGTTATGTTGCCTCATAGCTAAGCCTCTCTGGTTGGCAATGCCTCTTTAAACAGTTAGCTAATAATTATTATGGTCAAGGAAATGGTCAAAGAATTGAAATCAAACCCTTGTGGAGCACAGTAAGCGTCCTGAGGCCTGCTGCCAGGGGTGTTGGGTCAGCAAACAGGAATTACAGTGTGATGCGGTAAACAGAGTACAGAGTGATGCGGGATCACCTGCACTACCTGCTGATGAGAGATGGATGTTTGTGATGATTGGCCAGCATATGGGAGGCTCTCTTAATGACTTGTTACCCTTCTTTAAGGCTCTGCATTCTCCCCTGAGCCTCACTCTGCCTTGTTTACTGTCAAGAGGGAAAGAGGGCAGTGTGGAGGATGGGCAAGAGAAGCATTTGTGTTTCTGTGTCAGCTATTTGGTGTTGTTGCCATAGGGCTTCTGCTGGCTTTGTGCATGACGCAGTGTGCCATATTGGGTAATTAGAAACACGTTTTCATTCACAGTACATGCTTATCTTTTGTTTCTCTCTCTTCTTTCTCCTCTGTGTCTAGGCATCTCATTTCTTCTGGGGTCTCTGGGCACTGATTCAGGCCAAGGTCTCCACCATCGACTTTGATTTCTTGGGGTAGGTTTACAACTTAAAATAAACCCTCATGCATTCCTTATCAGCAGCCAGTTTGTTTAGCCAAGCAGATCTAGTTATTGTAATCATATCATATGTGTAAGAACAAACTGTGAAGCATTCAAGTTGACATAATTTGTGTCATCTCAGTCTGATATTTGTGCACGTAGCTAACGTGTCAGGTACATTTTTTATCTTACCGCTGACACCACTTCTCTCTGTTTGTCCCAGATATGCAGTCCTGCGCTTCAACCAGTACTTCAAGATGAAACTGGAGGTGGCTTCGTTGAACTTACCTGAATAAAATCCCCCACCCACTCATCTTCTTCTCCTCCTGCTCTTCCTCCCTTCCTACCTGCTCTGGGCTTCACATGTCGACTGCAGAACGCCCTGAGGGGGTCCTTGTAGGGAAGAACCAGACTGAGAGTCAGTCCTGCTCGGTGCCTACAGTCCCCTTCACGTGTCCTTATCTCTAGAGATTGGATGGACCACAGGCTTTTCCATCCTCTGCTGTCACACCTTTGTTAACCGGCAGCCCACATCATTTGTGGGCACGTGTGAAGTACAGATTTAAGACTACTGCTACAATGTGAAGCCCACACGGCCAAATGTGTTAAATTATTCTAATTTAAATTGGGATATCAATTTGATATATATATATATCATTTACTTGTAGGCAGCTATTCTTGTAGCTCAAATCACCAGACAGAGGTGGAATGTCACGTTATTCAAAACATTGGTAACCACTTCCATGACTGACAGGTGGCCCAAACACTAACCTTGCCAGGTTTGCCTGGAGACACCTTCCTCATATGTGCAACAAGGGGAAAAACGCTTGAGGGCCAGCCCAGCTAACGACCAAATTTATTACAAAGTGAAAGCAACATAAAGCCTGCTTTGTTTGCTGAAGCACCGAGATGAAGGAAAAAATGAAATGCCAACTTGGAAAGGCCAGTGATGTCCCTTAATGCCATGTGATATGAGCCAAATCATTTCAAAAAGAAAAAACTTGTGGCCTGTCTTGTGACTTTTGTTTTTACCCTTATTTTCATCAGCAGACGGTGGGCATGGTGTGGTAGGCCAGAATAGCCGTGTTGTCATTGTTTCTGTGAAGTTTGGTGAGGGTGTGTGTGTGTTTTGACTTTCTGGACTGAAGGTAGAAACATTGAGTTGTAGGAGAGCCTATAGTGTTTACGTCTAACCTCTTCCTTGAGTTGTACTCGAGCAGGGTTTTGACTTGAGGGAGTTTTCCACTGTTATGTACATTTCATGTTTTGACACTTGGCGAAATCTAATCGGGAAGAGCTTGCATCTCACTGTAATTTGAACATTCCATGTTCATAACTCTAGATAGGGATTTGGTTAAGTAGCAGTGTTGGGGACTGTATTCCCTCTGACTTCGACGTACTGTACTAAACAAGACCAAACCATTATATTGTTTGCTCTGTGTCAGGGAACGTTAAGGAATCATCTTTAAAATAAAATAAAAAACACTCCTGTCCAATTTCAAGGACATTTTATACACTTGTAGACCAGTCTTCATTCAAGTATGTATTGAGATTAGTGTGATATGGTCTTATGGCTAAGCCCAATGTTGAGGGTATGTTGAAAAGTCGAAATTGGGCGAAAAAGAAAGTAGACTATCTTGGTTACACACATCTGTGTTGAGTTTAAAACAATGTAATGAAAGTCAGCTGTTAGTGCAACCTGAGGGAGAAGAGCATCATCTGTTGGACAAAGAAAGTAAGGCTGTTCTTGATATTTACTTTCACCTACATGTTTTTGTTCTTTTTAAATGAGCTTTAGTAGGTCTTTTAAAAAAAAAAAACTGAAAAACAAGTTCAACTCTTGGTTACTTTAACAAGCCTACACCAAAGTGCTGACATCTGTTTTTTGCTTGTACATAATGCACAATGTATCATTTTTTCAATGTAGCACAAAGAGAATTAGAAACGGTTATATATAGACTTTTTATACTTGTATTAAGGCCGAGGTCTTTGAGTGTGTGGATGTTTGCTGATGCAATGGCAGATGAATCTTGGACAAATATATATATTTAAAAAGAATTACAAAATGTGAGTCTGACGCAATTCAAACCTGAACAATGTGGCGAAAAACGTTTTCTTGTTTACTCCCAAAAGTGTTATGAATATTTCAAAAATAGCATGTTCGCCCAGTTGCTCTCTGCTGTTACATCTTTGCAAAGCACCGTAAAGAGACAATTACTGACAAGACTGGATCGTCCAAGTCTCATGTTCACACTAGTCTGCCGGTGTGCCTGTGAAAGCTCTTATTTTATACTTAAAAGTTTGAAGGCCTATCTCTTGTCTTCTGTCTCTATAATTTGGTGTTGTGTTTTTCATGCAGGTGAATTTACATGAAGGGAGTTGTAAGAGTGTTTTGACAAGTTATTGGTTTAATATGTGTTGGAGGAAAATGTGGTCTGTGAAAGATAGTTTTCCATTGGTTAGAACACTGTCAGACCACATTTACCATTAACACGCTTAAATGAACGTGTGTCCAAGATGACTGTCACATAATTCAAACGTTCTAAATGTCTAAAATCAAACGGCTGAAATATTTCCTAAAGGCTTATTTCCCCCTCTTTCTGAAACATCCATCATGCATAGGTCATCTCGGTGTGCTAATAATATGAACCTCCACTACTATTTAACATTGTACAAAAGGCTGTCCTGAAAGCCCTCTGGCCACTTTAGCATATGTTTATATGTACAGTAAACCCATGTAATATTATCTTTGCTTGTTATCAAATGTGAATGAATGTACATAGGAGTTCTTTTTTTCTAAAAGTTGCATTAAGGTAAATAGTTGCCTGCGGGTAAGAGGTGATATTAAAAACCTGACATTTTCAATACTGTAAACATGCTTTGAAAATAAAGTTTATTTACCCTTATCCGTGTCTCCTCCTTTTCATATTGTGTCTCTGTTGGGTCTGTCTTTGATGCTGCTTATTAGCCAGTTTATAAAATAAAATATGTGGGATTTTTCTTGTTAGCATTAGCATATACTTTTATTTAAAATTGCATTGCAACATTAAAAACATGTTGGCCCCATGTTATTTTAATATATAAAATCATCATATCCAGTGCCCAGGAGAGCTAATCCAAAGACATCATCACACCTCATCAAATCCAGATCTTCAGCTTCCTCTTCATCCCATCTCCTCATCAAATCCAGATCTTCAGCTTCCTCTTCATCCCATCTCTTCATCAAATCCAGATCTTCATCATCATCACCAGTGTCTAGACCCCAGGGAGGGTTCCCATATGCTCACGGTTGCATTTCCCCCTTTAGATATACGATTCCAGGATCGGGGTCTAATCGCCAAAGACTTAACATTTACCATATATGGCGCATGTGTCAATAAATGTTCTTTAAACAAAATGAAGTCTCTCCTGATTGAAATGTAACTCAGCCTTAATTGAGTGAAACAGCACTCCTTTGTGGTAATGGCATGTAAGTATACCACAGGAAGAAAAGTTGAAGGAAAGAGAGAAAGGCCTCCAAACCGTAAAGTAGCCTACATAATGTTTCTTAACAAAAAGTTATCCCCATATTTTGACCTTTGGCTTCTCATAGGACGAAAATCAAAGGTGACATTAAAAACCACTTGTTACATTTAGGCAGGGGTAGAAGAAGATCTTATATGTACAAGTAGAAATACTAGAGTCTATAAATACTCTGTTACAATTAAAAGTCCTGCATTGCAGATGTTACTCAAGAAAAAGCATAGTACCAGAAGTAATAGTACTCATTATGCATATTGGCCCCTTTTCTAATAATATACAATGTTTGGATTAACTTATTTGACTAATTGTTGATGTTTTCATGTGTTTATCACAAAACACATAAAGTCTTATTTAAATGTTGATTATATTTCACATCATTAATCAAATTCTGCAAAGTATCTAAAGGTATACGATTACTGAAGTGGAGTACACGATTAATGTCTGAATTGTAGAGGGCTATAATGACTAAGTAGAACAAAATGTAATTAGTGTACTTAGCTACTTTACACCACTGCATTTACAGTAGGTGATCTTGTGAATGCTAGCGTACCCACGATTTACTGGGTCACGTGACCCTTGTAATTAACGAAATCAGTTTCACCTGTGTGCTGAATGTTTTGCTAGTTAGCTTGAAGCTAGCAGCGATGGAGAAAGTGGATGAGTCACAATACGTCAACAAACAAATAAACTTTGGGATATAATTACTTGGATACTTCAAGAAAGAAATGAAGAAAGAAAGGAAGAAAGGAAGAAAGAAGAGTTAATGTCAACAAAACGTGAGTCTAATTTACCTGATTCTTATCCGTCTCTTTTCTCGCTGGTTTTCTTTCCAAATGTTTAAACGTCTCTTTGGTTGGATGTAACTGCCTGCTGTGTAGTTGTTGTTGCTATGGATGAAAGTCATATAATGTGAATTGATTCCGAACTAAAGTGTTTGGTGCTGTCCCAGCAGGGTGTTTAATAATTAGGATGGTTTTGTCAGACTTTTGAAGTCAACTTGTCTGTTAAATATCGACAAGTTGCTTTCTTCTTTTTCTTCGCTGTGCTTTAACTTTAATACTTTTGGCATTTGAACTATCTTTTGTATTGCAAGCACATATAAAGTAAGTCATGTATTTGGTACATGCATTGTTATGCTAAACCTTTGAATACTATTGGGGTTATATCTTCTTAGCATAGTTTAATTGAACTATTCATATCTTAAACTGCACTGTAACTTTTTATTCATATACTTTTTATTCATTTATTTTTTCTTTTAATGTTTCTTTTATTATCTTTTCTTCTTAATGACTGTTTTTAAATGCCTTTGTCTGAATGTCTTTCATTTTTGTAAAGCACCTTGCTATATAAATAAACTTGCCTTGCCTTGCCTAGCAGGCCTATTCAATGTATGGGTACGATTTGTAGAAAGTTCTGTTTGTTGAAAATACATTTAGATAATGATATGTACATTGTTGTTTATATTTCAAGCAAACATCTGTTGCCTAAAACATATTGACATCTCCAGATGTGCCACTTGGTTTGGTAAAATGACACATCTTAGTTAAAAGGGACATTTATCTCAATTTCAGGTTCAAACATGTATATTGGCTCTCTGTGTTTAATGGCAGATTGCGTATTTAATGTTGTATTTCACCACCTTTCAGTTCAGAACAACTCATACAATATCTAGTTTTCATCTTTTTTTCATCAGGAATGTTTTTTGGAAAATTACCAAACATATCTTGCCTGGTGTCATGATCTTAGTTTTGTCTGATTGTCTCATTGTGTTCACCTGTTGCCCTTGTGTTCAGCTGTGTCTTGTCCTGTGATTACCCTGCTGTGTATTTAGTCTTGTCTTCCCTTTTGCTCCCTGTTCGGTCGTCGTCTTTTGTCCATGTTCCTGCCTGCTTGTAAGTGTGTTCCTCTCTGTTGTGCTCCCCGGTTTTGTTAATGTTTAGTTGTTTCTTCTTTTTCTTTATAATCAGCTTTTGTTAAATAAAGCTCGCTTTTTGTTATACTTTATACCCCTTCTCCTCATTCTGCGTTTGGGTCCTATTCCATACCAAAACCTTGACACCTGGTCAACTTTCCCTGCAGTCCAGTATGCCCTGTGCTTCCCTTATGATCACACCTAGCCTCTTCATTCCCTCCATCATGTCTCTTCTCTCATGTTTGTATTTCCTGCAGTATAAGTATGTGTTCAACTATTTATACTGCCGTTCGGGCGGCAGACACCCTATCCGTTTTTTAAGAGTGCGCTTAAGACCTTCCTTTTTGATAAAGCTTATAGTTAGGGCTGATTAGATGCAGCCCCTAGTTTTGCTGCTATAGGCTTAGTTTGTCGGAGGACACCTTACTTCTTCCTTCTCTCTGTCTGTACCTGTGTACTCTCATGTTCCGAATAACCCAGCTTCCCCAAATTTATTTTTGGTGTCTATCTACGCCGGGATCCTGAGTCGTGGCTGATCCTGTTGCTGTGGTCCTGAGTCCTGGATCACGAGCCCTGGATCTTGAGTCGTGGCTGTGCCTGTTGCTGTGGTCCTGGATCATAAGTCCTGGATGGATATCCTCGTTGATTCATCTTATTATAGACACATGCATTTCCAAACATTTGGACTACCTATGTTGCTATGTATTATCTTTTCAATTTACACACGGCATCTATTGCACGTCTGTCCGTCCTGGGAGAGGGATCCCTCCTCTGTTGCTCTCCCTGAGGTTTCTCCCATTTTTCCCTTTAAACTGTGGGTTTTCTCCGGAAGTTTTTCCTTGTACGATGTGAGGGTCTAAGGACAGAGGGTGTCGTATTGTCATACTGATATTCTGTACAAACTGTGAAGTCCACGGAGACAAATGTAACATTTGTGATATTGGGCTATATAAATAAACATTGATTGATTGAACTATGGCGTTGTGCACACGGGAACGTTTGCGTTTATGCACAGTATGCGTTTTCAAAAAAGTATTCCGTTCACATGCATTCGTTTCATTTAACGTGTCTGTTCAAACGAGACCGCTGGAAACGCTGGACACGCTGTAGTACATATGCCGGGACTGTAAGTGGCGCTGTAACTTCCGCCACAAAATACACAAAAAGCAGCGAAGAAGACCCCGGAGCAGCCCCGCAGCAATGTTGCCATGGCTACCCTTCTGTTTATGCCCCGCGGTGGATTTAGCAACATGTAGTTCATGTAATTCTCCATGTCCACTTGTTGCTGATGGTTGTGGTAGAGGAGCTGTAGATTTTGCACTAACATCTGTAGCATGGTCAGTAGCAGTAGCTACTGACAGGAGGAAGTGTGTGTGGCGATTGCTGGTATTCAGCGGGATATAGTAATTTCCTCAGCATGTAAATATATGGATAAATGCAACGGGGAAGTTAACTGAAAGAAACCGAATCTGTGGATATTGCATCGACCGACCAAGAAGCACGTCTCCGTGGAGAGGACGCGCTCAGAAAGAGAGATATTCTCTACAAACACCGGGTGAGATCGCTCCTCTGGGACACGCCGGTCCTCGTGTTTCCTTTTTTTGTGTGGATTATAGCCTGAATAGGCCTACAAACATTTCTCTTTTTGCCGCCGACGGGCGCAGGAGCAATGAACAATAATGGCCTGGATTAGGCAGTAAAGACAAGTTTGGTGTATCGCAGAGCGGACTGTTTAATTTTGTTTGTGTTTGGCTGGAAAATTGTCAATATAATGGATCAATGCATGAAATCTGACTCTGTTTATTTTGTTTAAGGAGTATATTGGGCGTTAACAATTCTGGTTTGCCTTTTATAATATTATTTCATTCAAGAACCCCTTGTGAGTTTAATTAACACAGCTATTTTTGATAGTTGATTGTTACAGATGGCTACTGGCCATGCTACAGCAGTGAGCAGGAGAGGTGGGGCTATCATTATTTTTTCAAGAAATATTCGTATAGAGGCGATTACACGGACTCGTTTGACCCCCCAGAGAGTTTCGTTTGCAAATCTATCCACCTTGGGACCCGTTATCGTTTGTGGGGTCCGTTTCTATCGGCCTCATGTAAATAATAGGGCTATACGCACGAGAAACTATGCAGATACAAGCCGTTTTGTCCTCGTGTAAACGGCACCTTAATCTTCACACATTTTACAGAGACCAGATGTTTCCCCATAATTTTTAGTGTCCTATTTAGGTTAGTGAGTTCTGACTGATATCTGTGTTTGTCCTCTATAAACCCCCTCCAGTCTGCTCTAAATGGTTGCGAGAATAATATGGTGGATCTATGGGGCGGTATGTTCTAATGAGCCTTAATGTGACAGAAGGGAATCAACATCTTTGAATTACAATACACGGTTTTAGTTACGGGTGCATTTAAAACATTTTGCCACCTGAATGTTGCTAATGTTTGATGTTTTGATGTTTCTGAC